GAGGAGGAGGAGGAGGAGGAGGAGAGACATTTCTTTGAAGAATGTCTATGGAGAGTCTCAGTTATCATGGTTGTCCTGATTTTCTTTTCCAAGAGTCAACTGCACTTTTAGAGTGTGGTGACCAACCCCCCCCAAAAAAGAACGAGGTACTGACCATGTATTGGAGTCGTGTGAGCTGCCTGCAATAAGTCACGAGAAGCCATGACAAAATGCTTCCGTAGCAAGTTGAGCAAATGTTCAAGAAAAGAGAGATATTTGCATGGCATAGATGGCTCCTTCTCGGTTTCCAACAATGGCGGCTTCAAGATATGACGATCCAACCTGATGGAGTTAAGCAGAGGTCAACTTGGCCCAACAGACTCAATCCTGAACACCACAACTGTTGGGTTGATGGAACAACTCCAGCGCTCTTATTTTGACTTGTCTTCCTTCTTTCCTTCGTTCCTTCCTTCGTTCCTTCCTGCCATCCTTCCTCCATCCCTTTCATTTTCCTTCTTTCCTTCCTTCCTTCCTTCCTTCTTTCCTTCCTTCCTGCCTCCCTCCCTTCTTTCCCTTTTCCTTCTTTCTTTCCTTCCTTTTCTTCCTTCCTTTCTTCCTCCCTCCCATTTTCCTCCCTTCCTTCTTTCCCACTTTTTTCCTCCCTCCCTCCCATTTTCCTTCTTTCCTTTCATTCTTTCCTTCTTTTCTTTCTTCCTCCCTCCCATTTTCCTTCCTTTCTTTCCTTCTTTTTCTTTTATTCCTTCCTTCCTCCCTCCCATTTTCCTTCCTTCCTCCCTCCCTTTTTCCTTCTTTCCTTCCTGCCTCCCTCCCATTTTCCTTCCTTCCCTCTTCTTTTTTCCTCCCTCCCTCCCATTTTCCTTCCTTCCTTTCATTCTTTCCTTCTTTTCTTTCTTCCTCCCTCCCATTTTCCTTCCTTCCTTTCCTTCTTTTTCTTTTCCTCTTCCTCCCTCCCATTTTCCTCCCTTCCTCCCTCCCTCCCATTTTCCTTTCTTCCTTCTTTCCCTTTCCTTACTTCCTCCCCCCAATTTCCTTCCTTCCTTCCTTCCTTCCTTCCTTCCTTCCTTCCTTCCTTCCTTCCTTCTCTTCATGTCAGCAACTGAACCTAAAGACCAAGAAAACTAAGAAGCAAAGTCTTACTTGGGAAGCAGAGTCTTCATCACTGCTGCTCCTGCTTCGCTATCTTGAACCCGGGGACTGCTGATGGCTTCCAGGGCCCATCCAAATAGAGCTACCGCAGCAGAGGCTGGAAGATCTGGTGGGAAGTAAGAGTTCAGCAACTCTGAGGCCAAATCACGGATCTGAGTGGAGACAGAAGAAAGACTCTGTAAGGAGAAGACCTCTAGCATATGTTTTAGCCTCCAGTCCCCTCATCATCCTGGTTGCTCTTCTCTGCACTCTTTCCAGAGTCTCAACATCTTTGTTACAGTGTGGTGACCAAAACTGGATGCAGGAGTCTAGGTGTGGTCTTACTAAGGCTTTATAGAGTGGTATTAGTTACAATAATACAATAATAGAGTTAGAAGGGACCTTGGAGGCCTTCTAGTCCAACCCCCTGCTCAAGCTGGAGACCCTGTACCATTTCAGATGAGTGGCTGTCCAATTCCTTCTTTAAAAACCTTGAGTGTTGGACAATCCACAACGTCTGAAGGCAAAGGGTTCCAGTGGTTAAATTGTTCTTACTGTTAGGAAATTTCTCCTCAGTTCTAAGTTGCTTCTCTCCTTGATTAGTTTCCACCCATTGCTTCTTGTCCTGCCCTCAGGTGCTTTGGAGAATAGTTTGACTCCCTCTTCTTTGGGGCAACCCCTCAGATATTGGAAGACTGCTATCATGTCTCCCCTAGTCCTTCTTTTCATTAAACTAAACATACCCAGTTCCTGCAACCGTTCTTCAAATGTTTTAGTCTCCAGTCCCTTAATCATCTTTGTTGCTTTTCTCTGCACACTTTCCAGAGTCTCCACATCTTTTCTACATCGTGGCGACCAAAACTGGATGCCGTATTCCAAGTGTGGCCTTACCAAGGCCTTATAAAATGGTATTAACACTTCACGTGATCTTGATTCTCTCCCTCTGTTTATGTAGCCTAGAACTGTGTTGGCTTTTTTGGCAGCTGCTGCACATGGCTGGCTCCTATTTAAATGGTTGTCCACTAGAATCCAAGATCCCTTTCACAGTTACTACTATTGAGCAAGGTACCACCTATACTGTACTTGTGCATTTCGTTTTTCTTGCCTAAATGTAGAACCTTACTCTTTTCACCCTCAAATTTCATTTTATTAGATAGTGCCCAATGTTCAATGTTCTTGTAGTTGTGCAAGAACATGCCACCTTTAACGGCTGAATTGTTAGCCTGAGAAACATGACTGATATTTGAAGCTACTCTATCAATCCATGTGTCTTGGGGGATGGTCAATAGTAGCCAAGGCGAGGTGGACCTCCATACCTCATTTGTGCTATCCTGCAAGCAGCTCAACAGGGCCAAAGTGTTCCCAGTAGAAAAAAAGTCCCAGGAGCCTTTATTCCTGGACCAGCACAATAAGGTGGCCATATTTCCTGGAGAGAGATCAAACATAGATTGGAAAGAAGGAAGGAGCATATCTGAAGAGGGTGTGGTCAACTAGATTGTAGATGGGAAATGGTGTGGGGGAGAAGATTGACACCCCAGTCCTTTCCCAAATCATTCCAGCCCATCTCTTCCGTACATCCCACCCACCCTCCAATTATCAATCGATCAGACTGGAGGCACCTCAGAGGTCTTCTAGTCCAACCCCCTGCTCAAGCTGGAGACCCTGTACCATTTCAGATGAGTGGCTGTCCAATTCCTTCTTTAAAAACCTTGAGTGTTGGACAATCCACAACGTCTGAAGGCAAAGGGTTCCAGTGGTTAAATTGTTCTTACTGTTAGGAAGGGTCTCCTTAGTTCTAAGTTGCTTCTCCCCTTGATTCGTTTCCATCCATTGCTCCTTGTCTTGCCTTTTGGCGCTTTGGAAACCAAGTTGACCCCTCCTTCCTTGTGGCAACCACTACATAGGTTTGTCCTAAGGCCGTGATGGCCAACCTATGGCATATTTGCTGACATGTGAGCTGTCCACTCTGGTGCGTGCTGATTTTCAGCCTTCCGGACGGCTGGGGGAGGCCGTTTTCGCCCTCCCCGGGCTTCAGGAAAGCTTCCGGAGGGCAAAAAATAGACCCAATGGTCCAACCAGAAGTTAGAAAACAATCCGTTTCCAGGTTCCGGAGCACCTCTGGTGGCAGGGAGGCCGTTTCACCCTCCCCTGGTTTCAGGAAAGCCTCCGGAGCCTGAGGAGGGCAAAAACAGGCCCAATGGTCCAACCGGAAGTTAGGAAACGATCCGTTTCCATGTTCCGGAGCACCTCTGGGGGCAGGGAGGCCATTTTCACCCTCCCCTGGTTTCAGGAAAGCCTCTGGAGCCTGAGGAGGGCAAAAAACAGACCCAATGGTCCAACCGGAAGTTAGGAAATGATCCGTTTCTGGCTTCCGGAATGCCTCCGGGAGGGGGAGGGCAAGGGGAGCCCGTTTTTCTGAAGCCTGGGGAGGGTGAAAACCCATGGTGTATGTGCGTGTCATGCACGCATGCAGGGGGAGGGGCGGGTGTCATGCGCGCATGCGCAGGCGTGTGGGGCGCGTTGAATCGTGGATGTGGGTATGTGCGTGCCCACCCTTCTTTGCAGCACCGGGCTGGGGAAGGTGGAAGAAAGTCACTTACGGGGAGGCTGACCCTTCTTTCTCTCGGGTCTCCAGGTGTCGGTGAAGGTCTCCAGGATGGCAGCCAGGAGGAGAAGAGCTGTTTTCCTCCTCTGGTAGTTGGAGCTGGGCATCAGAGACGCTGTGCAGAGCTGAAGCAGCCAATCCACAAATTCTAAATAAAGAAAGATCTATTTTGCATGACCTCCTACACAAAGGTGGATGAATGAGGTTTCTGGGGAACATCTGGGTGGAGAAAGGTTTGGGTTCTGTTCTCTGTGAGGAGGGGATTCTGGTTGTAATTTGAGGACTGGTCCCAAATTTGGTCATAATTTGAGGATATGTACAGGGAAGGGATTCAACTGTTCGAGTGAATATACATGTATGTATGTATGTATGTATGTATGTATGTATGTATGTATTTCATATATATATATATATATATATATATATATGAAAGAAGGAAGGAAGGAAAGGAAGGAAAGAGAACGAAAAAGAAAGGAA